TGATGCACGATCCTCGCAGTAGATAGCGCTATTTAAGCAATAGCGAAAATCAGACCTGAAAAAAAAAAAAAATAGGGGCCTGTACGGGATCCGAACCACTGACCTCTGCGATACTAGCGCAGCGCTCTACCAATTGAGCTAACAAGCCAACTGGGAGCAGGCCGTTAAGTTGATTCGTAACAAACCCGTGAAAGTGATAAATCTGATACAATGAAATATATGAAGTTCATATATTTTTTTTTATATATAGATATTTTTTTTAGGATCGTGCATCATATGTATTTAATACCGCAGTTCAAAATATATGAACTTCATATATTTCATTGTATCTGATGAAATACACCCTTCCTTCTATTTCAACCGCGCCAAGATTGTTTTGAGGAATACGGCTTTGTTTAGCATAAGACCACTTTTTGTTCTCAGTTCTCGTCATAAATTTCAACAGAGGCAACAGAAATGCTATGAACAGATCCTGGGCCCCCTGCAACACATAGACTACCGTTTAACACAAAGAGGCTAGATCCAAAATGAAGACTATTAGTTGATGCCCTAGACGTTCTGGATTGAAGCAATAAACCGTGGCAGGTTTCTCCCCATAGATCGGAGAGCCACGACTGTAATATTTTACCACTCCATCAGCACCATGAAGTGCAAACAAAGACGAGTTGAAAACTATGGACGCTTTACTAGAAAAGGTGTTCAGAGAGGCTCCTTGGTTGTAAAATGGATTTATGCACTGCCACAGATTTGCTTTTAAACTAAACCGATGAGGTAGTTGTGATTCTCTTATTGCGTAAATATAATCATCAAAAGAACATAACGAATCGATCCTATGCTCACAGCCTACAGTACGAGGTAGTGTCTCCCAGGTATTACTAGTGGTATCACAACGATACATAACAAAATATGCCTCCTTTTTGCCCCTACATACAGGTGATTACCAACATACTCTGTACAGAAACACGCGGTTGCCTCAGTCAACGGAGCCATGGATGGTAGGGATTTCCATTCTTTGGCCTTTCAAAATCAAAGTACTGCATCTGAGCTTGAGGCATAATGGCCACAAGTACCTATCGAGAGTCGAATACCAAGCGACAAGATGAAAATAATTGATCACTGAGTTCTACGATCAATATTACATCGATTACAATACGCAATTAAGTAACCTCTTTACGGTCCTGCCATCCACCTTTCCCCCTAAACTACGTCAAATTGTGATAATGTAACTTCGAACAATTTTTTTGACGGACCTTGATTTTCCTACACCCTTCTAATACATTCTTCAGTGTTTTCAGTTTCTGTAGTTCGCTATACTTTTTAGGATTTACGGTCGTTTTGTTACAAGTGAAAGATCTACAATGATAAATGATAATTGCCTTACCGATTCCGGCCATGGACCTCGGTTTTGTTTTGTTTGTAGCGAACTCGGGAATAGCTGAAGGCTCGTAGCTGTATAACAGTGATCGTGCAAAAGCATGTGAATATCTGGAAGGACGTGCATTTCGCGCATGTTGAGCTCTGGTCTTACCTCTCTGATGTTCACTAGCCCCAGACAAACAGCTCCAATTATCTTGGCTGCAACTGCCATCCTTTCCTCCTTCTTGTGTTTAATCCACTGCATCACTGATTTAAAGATGAACGTCTCCGAAGGTGCACTGAGGTCATCTCGGTTGAGCACGCTGAGCAACTAGTCTGGCTCTATAATGGACAAGAACTCTTCACTTTCACAGATATCGTTAAACGTTGATGCCATTTTTCTCTCAGGTGCTTCTTGCAGATATTTCATTCTGTGTTTATGGGCAACCGTGCAGAGCAGACAGTAATTCTGCAAGTCAAATCGAAGCCGTGAACAAATTCATTCTTCAGGAAATCGCTGCATTGTTGGAAGAAGATGAAATGCTGCAGCTAGAACTTCAGACACGTTTTCCTCGGTGACTTAAAAATCTCTAGTGTAAATGGAGTCAAGGATGATCTTTAAAGCATTTGATGTGATGGTTTCGTCTTTCAATTCGATCATTTCCTGGTTCGACTAGCTCTTTCATTCATTAGTAAATAATCGCTATTCGCAGCAAGCACGATACGGTGAGCTGTAAAAACGTCGTCGCTGACTTTTAATGGAACGTCGATGAACTGACCTTCGTCTCTGAACATTTAAAAGGGAAAATCTCAGAAGATGCAGCCATTCGGCAAGACGTTTGACGCAAAAGACGATGCACTGGAGGACTACGTTCGGTCCTAATTTCTCATGATTGCGTGACCAAAGATCTACGGAAAGCGCACTCCGAAATCCGTCAGAAGGAGGTCATCTCGGTCAGATTTCCGATTACGAAATCCGAGCTCCCCCGATGTTGTCTTCGTGATGAAGCTATTTAACATTTTAGTAGCCTGAGGATCAGGCTCTCTAGGGGAGGGGAGGGGAGAAGGAAAAGGAGAGCCTGACACAAAGCCATATCGGAAGCCGTTCCATCCGTTCAGATTTTGAACGGACTTCTGATTGGCCAATATAACAATAGATGATTTACCGGAGGTAAAAATGTTTTTCTGCATAATCAGACCGCCATCTTGAGATTTCGCACTCAGCCAACTTTTTCGTTTATGAGACCTGATTTTGCCTTGATGTGAATTGTAATGACCTCTGCAGTTAAAGAAGAAGACTTTNGTAGAGCGCTGCACTAGTATCGCAGAGGTCAGTGGTTCGAATCCCGTACAGGCCTGAAATTTTTTTCAGGTCTGATTTTCACTATTGCTCAAATAGTGCTTTACTGCGAAGGATCGTGCTCATATACGTCTCATAACCGCAGTTCACACATATGTTTCATATGTTTGTTGTTGTTTGATTTATCATCTACGGGTTTATGTCGAATTAATTTGATGGCCTGCTCCCAGTTGGCTTGTTAGCTCAATTGGTAGAGCGCTGCACTAGTATCGCAGAGGTCAGTGGTTCGAATCCCGTACAGGCCTGAAATTTTTTTCAGGTCTGATTTTCACTATTGCTCAAATAGTGCTTTACTGCGAAGGATCGTGCACATATACGTTTCATAACCGCAGTTCATACATATGTTTCATATGTTTGTTGTTGTTTGATTTATCATCTACGGGTTTATGTCGAATTAATTTGATGGCCTGCTCCCAGTTGGCTTGTTAGCTCAATTGGTAGAGCGCTGCACTAGTATCGCAGAGGTCAGTGGTTCGAATCCCGTACAGGCCTGAAATTTTTTTCAGGTCTGATTTTCACTATTGCTCAAATAGTGCTTTACTGCGAAGGATCGTGCTCATATACGTCTCATAACCGCAGTTCACACATATGTTTCATATGTTTGTTGTTGTTTGATTTATCATCTACGGGTTTATGTCGAATTAATTTGATGGCCTGCTCCCAGTTGGCTTGTTAGCTCAATTGGTAGAGCGCTGCACTAGTATCGCAGAGGTCAGTGGTTCGAATCCCGTACAGGCCTGAAATTTTTTTCAGGTCTGATTTTCACTATTGCTCAAATAGTGCTTTACTGCGAAGGATCGTGCTCATATACGTCTCATAACCGCAGTTCACACATATGTTTCATATGTTTGTTGTTGTTTGATTTATCATCTACGGGTTTATGTCGAATTAATTTGATGGCCTGCTCCCAGTTGGCTTGTTAGCTCAATTGGTAGAGCGCTGCACTAGTATCGCAGAGGTCAGTGGTTCGAATCCCGTACAGGCCTGAAATTTTTTTCAGGTCTGATTTTCACTATTGCTCAAATAGTGCTTTACTGCGAAGGATCGTGCTCATATACGTCTCATAACCGCAGTTCACACATATGTTTCATATGTTTGTTGTTGTTTGATTTATCATCTACGGGTTTATGTCGAATTAATTTGATGGCCTGCTCCCAGTTGGCTTGTTAGCTCAATTGGTAGAGCGCTGCACTAGTATCGCAGAGGTCAGTGGTTCGAATCCCGTACAGGCCTGAAATTTTTTTCAGGTCTGATTTTCACTATTGCTCAAATAGTGCTTTACTGCGAAGGATCGTGCTCATATACGTCTCATAACCGCAGTTCACACATATGTTTCATATGTTTGTTGTTGTTTGATTTATCATCTACGGGTTTATGTCGAATTAATTTGATGGCCTGCTCCCAGTTGGCTTGTTAGCTCAATTGGTAGAGCGCTGCACTAGTATCGCAGAGGTCAGTGGTTCGAATCCCGTACAGGCCTGAAATTTTTTTCAGGTCTGATTTTCACTATTGCTCAAATAGTGCTTTACTGCGAAGGATCGTGCTCATATACGTCTCATAACCGCAGTTCACACATATGTTTCATATGTTTGTTGTTGTTTGATTTATCATCTACGGGTTTATGTCGAATTAATTTGATGGCCTGCTCCCAGTTGGCTTGTTAGCTCAATTGGTAGAGCGCTGCACTAGTATCGCAGAGGTCAGTGGTTCGAATCCCGTACAGGCCTGAAATTTTTTTCAGGTCTGATTTTCACTATTGCTCAAATAGTGCTTTACTGCGAAGGATCGTGCTCATATACGTCTCATAACCGCAGTTCACACATATGTTTCATATGTTTGTTGTTGTTTGATTTATCATCTACGGGTTTATGTCGAATTAATTTGATGGCCTGCTCCCAGTTGGCTTGTTAGCTCAATTGGTAGAGCGCTGCACTAGTATCGCAGAGGTCAGTGGTTCGAATCCCGTACAGGCCTGAAATTTTTTTCAGGTCTGATTTTCACTATTGCTCAAATAGTGCTTTACTGCGAAGGATCGTGCTCATATACGTCTCATAACCGCAGTTCACACATATGTTTCATATGTTTGTTGTTGTTTGATTTATCATCTACGGGTTTATGTCGAATTAATTTGATGGCCTGCTCCCAGTTGGCTTGTTAGCTCAATTGGTAGAGCGCTGCACTAGTATCGCAGAGGTCAGTGGTTCGAATCCCGTACAGGCCTGAAATTTTTTTCAGGTCTGATTTTCACTATTGCTCAAATAGTGCTTTACTGCGAAGGATCGTGCTCATATACGTCTCATAACCGCAGTTCACACATATGTTTCATATGTTTGTTGTTGTTTGATTTATCATCTACGGGTTTATGTCGAATTAATTTGATGGCCTGCTCCCAGTTGGCTTGTTAGCTCAATTGGTAGAGCGCTGCACTAGTATCGCAGAGGTCAGTGGTTCGAATCCCGTACAGGCCTGAAATTTTTTTCAGGTCTGATTTTCACTATTGCTCAAATAGTGCTTTACTGCGAAGGATCGTGCTCATATACGTCTCATAACCGCAGTTCACACATATGTTTCATATGTTTGTTGTTGTTTGATTTTCGCGCAAGTTTGACAGGCACGTCAAATTCATAATAGACCGGAAGTAATTCTGATTGGTTTAGATTTATAGTCACGCATCACGAATTCCTAGGGGGGCGGAACGGCTTCAGATATGGCTTTGTGTCAGGCTCTCCTTTCCCTTCTCCCCTCCCCTCCCCTCCCCTCCCCTCCCCTTCCTAAAAACCCCAGAGAGCCTGATCCTCAGGCTCGCATTTTAGACCCACACAACAGAGTAGAAAGGAACATGTACTTCGTTTTTGGTTCTGACTTCGTATTTGCGTTAAGATATTTGCATTTTTTTTCGTTGCTAGCCTATATTACAGATGCCTCCTTCGGATTTCGTCATCAGAAATCTACCCGAGATGACCTCTGGTGTTTTCACATCCTCCTTTTGACAGATTTCTTGGAGGTATCACTATGTTGTAGTTGTGATCGGCCATCCGTCAAAAGGAGGCATCTGTAATATAGATTAGCAATGAAAAAAATGCAAATATCTTAACGCAAATACGAAGTCAGAACCAAAAACGAAGTACATGTTCCTTTCTACTCTGTATTGCGGGTCTAAAATGCTAAATAGGGCCTTCATCACGAAGACAACATCGGGGGAGCTCGGATTTCGTAATCGGAAATCTGACCGAGATGACCTCCTTCTGACGGATTTCGGAGTGCGCTTTCCAAGATATACGACGATCACGCGAAACCCTCAAGTTACGAGGGAAAGGGAGGGGTTGATTTTACAAGGAAGATGAAAGTTATTTTTAAATGATCGAGTAGCGTAGGGTTAAATAAAGAACGAACGATGTCCTTTTTTTTTACGAAGGAAAGGAAAACATCTTATTTTTACATTAACAATTAATTCTCAAAATAGGCGGGTGGGTAAACATGATAGTTGATTGAAATACACTGGAAGAATCTTCAGAAAAAATAAATAGGGTGTAGTTATAGTTAAGAGAACTCCTGCAAAATCAATAAACCAACCCGCTCAAGTTACGTGAATCGACTGCTCTGAGGCGCCAGCACTCTCCCCTCAGTGTTTTTCTTTCATTTCTTTTTAGCGAAAAAACAAACCTTGTATCGATTAGCTCACAAGTTTATTAAACAATTAGGAAACATTACAAGGTACAATAAAATCGATAAGAGCTTCAAGCTTTCATACAGTTTATAATCTCTTGGCCCTCGTCACATTTTAATTTGCATACCAAGTACACGTTCAAGAAAGGTATCGATATATCTTTTTAATGCAACACTTTAGGATAAGACTTTCTCATAATCTACGGCTCTGTTTCATTACTCCTTCTCCTTCTTGGTTAGTGTAAATATATAATTAAAGTAAGTCTTGTGTAAATGTTAAGATACACCAGTTAATTATACGTGACATTGGCCAACTCGAAAGCTATGCTACTTTGGTCACTGTGCACATTTTGCTTTTGATTATTTATACAATTTACTGTTTTTTATATATTCTGACTTTTATAATCTGTAGTAACCTCTTGAAATAGTGCGAATAAAGACGTGGAAATCGTGGAATCTCGCCTCTGTCAGTGCTATCCAAAAAACTTTTACTCAATGTATTGTATTATTATGATTGTATGTGCCATACCCTCAGCTAATATGGCACACAAACCAAACTATAACTTTTTTCTTGAACACCGATTAAAACTCCTTCTTTGGAACAACAATGAATTTTAATTGTGTATGTTTAAGTATCATAACACGGCTTTCCAATAAACTACTCAGCAACAGGCATTAGGACCTTTTTCTTTTCCATTCCATATGTGAATATTTGTACATGAGTGAAAATTTTGTCTTGGATTTCTCACTAATTTTTTTATCTTAAGTTTTCTTTCTTGACAGGCAAATAACACAAGACTGCGTCTCCACTTACTTTTACTAAGTTTTTCCATTCATCACCTAAGTGAACAGGATAATTCTCGCACGGAGGAATTCTAATACCACTGTCGATAGGAAAATTGTTAATTAAAAAATACACCTTCCTTTCAATTTCAACCGCGCCGAATTTGTTTGACGGGATATGTTTTTGCTCCACAACAGACCAGGCGTCCATCCACTCGTCATACACTTCCACTTCTCCATGGCCAGTTGCGGAACAGTTAAATAACAGATCTGGGCTTGAACTAGAACCCCCTGCCACACACAGTCTGTTATTGACTACAAAAATACTAGACCCAAAATGAGGATGGCGGGTTGGCGCTATACGTTCCCATTTATTATTCTCGGGGTCAAAACAATGCACTACTGCTGGCTTATCGACCCACTGACGACCATTACGTTCTCGATAGCCGTGAATTACATATATTTTACAATTCATTACTGTCGCAGCCACAGATTGAAACCCATTTGTAGGCCCTCGATCATCTATAAAAAAATTCAACTTTTCCCCAGCTTGCCAAACGCCACTGGTCAAACTATATCTTTGAGGAGGATTTGATTGAGAAATAACGAACAAATGTTCATTGACAGAGCATAGGCAGATCTTAGCCAGCTTGCACGGAATGTTGTTTGATTCATCTACATCTTTTCTTTCCCATATATTCAATTTTGGAAGTTTCTCCCACGTGTTATTTAATATATGATAACGGTATACCTGGGACGTACGTATCTGTTGCGCCTCTGCAAGTACATACAAGTAATTTCCAATCAATTCTACAGAATAAAATTCATCAGTTATTTCACCTAGCTGAGCAACCGATGCCAAAGGCTTCCACAACTTGGTGTCAGCGTCAAAATATTGAGCCATAGCATCTTCGGACCGACGATAAGAGAGACACGAGCAACTTTTGGTTACCGTCTCGGCTTTCCCCTTAACTTTGCCTCCAGTCTCTAGCCCCCATACGTAATTTTTGCTCCTTGATTCTCGACTAGGATGGATGGCCACGAGAACCTGAAATAAAAAATCAAATTTACCTCGTTGACACACGCAAGCCGGTGATATCGAGATCATTGGTTAAAGTTGGGAATAAAACAATGTGATTGTTAAACTTTTAGTGTCTATTGGAAAAGATTGCTTTACTTAACTTGAAATCATTAGTTAGAGTATGAAAGTAAGCCTCGTTTACGATGATAATGCTTAGACTCTCAAGAAAAAGGAACCTCGTACACTTATTCATCACAAACCACAGCGGTTGCAGTAGCGGCGAGGCCAATGAAATTAAATCTTGTTGTAATATTTCCTATGGAGAAAGTATGCTACAAAATCAAATAAGAAATTTTTCATCTCGGTCCACTGAACTTACGTGGTAGGCAGAGCGAGTTAATTGTATTATTTGATTGCCGAGTTGAAGAGAGTGTAAATCCAAAATTGCTTTACATTTACGCTCACGGCCGAGAAGATTTCATATTTTCTCTACCGACACATTCGGAAATATTTGGGCAACAATAGACTAGATAAAGTGTTACTGACTCAATGACACCTTTTCTGTTCAGAACTGTGAGAGTTTATGAAAAAGAGTCTTCCTTATTCGATTGAACGGGTATGAACAATAATTGCATGAACAATAATTGCATGAACAATAATTGTATGAACAATAATTGTATGAACAATAATTGCAATTTTTACATCTACTAGCAAATGTAAAATTACTTTTTCTCACCGGACGCATTGATCTTGGCTTCATTTTGTCTGCAGCAAATTTATGAGAAGGCATACAGTGATGCATCATGGATTCTTGCAGATGCATGTTGACCTCGGGAACTCGCTGCATTTCTTCGGTTTTCAACTCTTCAATCACAATCTTAACGTCTACCAGCCCCAGACGAACAGCTCCGATAACTTTTCCAGCAACTGCCATCCTGTCTTCACCTTTGTATTTGATCCACTTCATCGCCGATTTGAAAACGAAAGCTTCGGAAGGTGAATTGAGGTCATCTCGACCGAGAAGGCTGAGTAGCTGATCTGCATTGATATGAGTCAGGAATTCCTTAGTTTCGCAAACATCTTTGTACATGGATGCCATTTTGGCCTCGGCTGCCTCTTTTAGATCTCTCAGACCGAGTCCTTCGGCAAATGTACACAGCGCGGAGAAGTTCTTCACGTCAATTCCGTTTTCTATGAATTCCTTCTTTACGAAATCACAACACAGTTGAACAACACTTGCGACCTGAAGCTGACTAGCTGAGAGAAGAACCTCAAATACGCTCTTCTGGTTGACATGAAGATCACCAGTGTAGATGGAGTCCAAAACGATCTTGAATATCTCCGGTGAAGTGCTTTTATCATTCAGCTCGATCACTTCCTGATTCGCTTCCCTTCCATCAATAAACATTGAGTGGAAATAATCACTGTACGAAGCGAGTACAACTCGGTGAGCAGGGAAAAGTTTATCACCTATTTTCAAACGTACGTCGATGAATTCACTTTCCCTACGGAACTCGGTACACTTGGAGAGAAGAATTCTAGAATGGGCTACCATCTTTGTGCCGTTTTGATGCTAGGATTTCTGCTTGTAGAAACTACGAAGCAAACCAGAATGTCTTTGTGCGTGGTTCGCGTGACCGCCCACTAAAAACTACACGAATTCCCACTTGTATTGATTACATAGTTACCTGTGGTAAACGCCTAGTGATGCAAAGATTAACTTACAGAGATATCGATGTCAGGGTCACTGTTTTGGCGTAAGCCCAACGGTAATCTCTTTGCAGATACAGTTGAAAGTAATTATGGTACATCTGAAGAAGGTCGAGGAGATAAATAATTTGAAAATTTTCCTTAACCTATCAGATAACTTCATTAACCTTCTGACCTACATCTTCATTTACATCTTCTTCCAACACAACACCTAACTTTATACGTGTGATGCATGATCCTCGCAGTAGAGAGCGCTATTTATGCAATAGCGAAAATCAGACCTGAAAAAAATCAGGCCTGTACGGGATTCGAACCACTGACCTCTGCGATACTAGTGCAGCGCTCTACCAATTGAGCTAACAAGCCAACTGGGAGCAGGCCGTTAAGTTGATTCGTAATAAACCCGTGATGATAAATCAGATACAATGTATATATGAAGTTCATATATTTTGAACTGCGGTATTAGATACGTATGATGCACGATCCTCGCAGTAGAGAGCGCTATTTATGCAATAGCGAAAATCAGACCTGAAAAAAATCAGGCCTGTACGGGATTCGAACCACTGACCTCTGCGATACTAGTGCAGCGCTCTACCAATTGAGCTAACAAGCCAACTGGGAGCAGGCCGTTAAGTTGATTCGTAATAAACCCGTGATGATAAATCAGATACAATGTATATATGAAGTTCATATATTTTGAACTGCGGTATTAGATACGTGTGATG